GACTTTGAAAGTGACGAGTGGTAGACATACGTTCTCAACCAGGAATAGTACTGGCTAAATGTAAGAATACTGGTTTTGAAAGATGGAGTAGAAACTTCCTTGTTTACAGAAATTATTTGCAGAGAAATGTTCTAATTACAAATGTTCATAACTTCTAAGGATACGTATACAATACACTTCCCTGGTAGCATAATATTATTGAAGACAAGTCACTTTAAATATGAAATTAATCATTCCGATTGACAGTGGTGCAGGACAAGTTCTTGGATTCAGAGTATTGTGGTTAATCTTAGACACTCTGTACTTTCTCGAACAAATATGAACTAGATGGCCACATCAGAATGTTTTGCTCGAAGTCATACCAAAACTCCATACTGAAATAGTAATAATCAAAAGAACATGTCATGGTAATTGCATATTTCTGCCAGGAGAGGGCAGGAAAACCGATTGGTCGATAACTTGATGGCGTTTCCTTTCAAGACATTTGCTATTGCTATATTCATGTTTTCTTCCTCTCCCTCTCTCTCTCTCTTAGTTTCCATGGTAACGGGAGGTCTTGAAGCTTTGCGGCAACGATTTTTCTTTTAATTAATCATCTAGGATTTACAACTTTGAGACATAGAGCCGTATTTCTCGTTTTAAAACATAGAGCCGTATTTCTCGTTTTAAAACATAGAGCCGTATTTCTCGTTTTAAAACATAGAGCCGTATTTCTCGTTTTAAAACATAAAGCCGTATTTCTCGTTTTAAAACATAAAGCCGTATTTCTCGTTTTAAAACATAGAGCCGTATTTCTCGTTTTAAAACATAGAGCCATATTTCTCGTTTTAAAGGATTTCATGATATGACGCAGAAATAAAACACCTACAGGCTAGGATATGGATTTATACTTGAAACTAAGACGCACAAGCTGTTGGAATAGAAAATTTCTGATTTTTTTTTTAATGATCACGCACATTTGGTGTATTATAGCAATTTTTTGTTTTTAAGGAAATCATTAGGCCTTTAGCTCTATATGGGTTGCAATTAGTGCTGTGTAATTTTCATCTCATGAATTTCTCTTTCCCCTTATAATTCAGCCTTTAGAAAACTCGAGGAATTGTTGGTTCAATAGAATATCGTTCAATATACCTATTCGAAAAATCTTCTTTTACCTTGTTGAAACCTACTAGTAGATACTGACCCGTTTGTTTTATCCTAGCGTAACATGAATATTAATTTCAAAAAACTATGAATAATAAATCAAAAGAGAATCGTTTAACTGTAAGTCTTGGTCTCGGTGCACGCAAAAATTCAAGAACTTCGTATTGAAACCGGGTTATTGGTTGTTTGGCCAGGAGGATGGTAAATCAATATGAGAAAAAAAAAATGAGTTCGGCTTTATGACTCTGCAACCATCTTTTTCTGTACAATGTACAGATCAAGATAGTAACGGTAGAGAAAAATTCCGTGTAATATTATGGCTTTCTCGCGTTTTTTTTTTATCTTTCTAGATGCTTTAAAGCTTTAAATATCAAAGGCAAGTGTAAAAAAAGTTGTATAATATATCCCACATTGTACTTACTTCCTAATGCAGAACACGTATTTTAAGACCAATCCCATATGCGCGCCTAATTATATTTAGATTATGATTGAAAAATTAATGACTATTAAGTTTATGTCTTCCAACAGTAATCTTTTTTATGGGGATGGGTTGATGGGATAGACGTAAGAAATGTGATGATAATATTCACATTTCAAAGTTTAGTGTTTCCTATTTTTCCATATGACAATATAGTAAAAAATTAATTTGTTAGTTCATGACAAAGATAAATAGCAATGAAATGAGTTGATTGATCAACATTGAACGATATTGTAAAAAAACAAGTTTAAGAAAATAAGAATCTGGGTGCTGAAAACACACAAGACGCAAGGTTATAAGCCAAAGTCGCTGTAACTGTACGTTTAACACAGTTAATATAAATATTATAGGTTTTAAACCATAAGAAAACCATTATATTCAAATTACATATCTCGCTTCGTCATTGTTCACAATTTTTAATGACTTACAATGAACCACACACAATTGAGAGAAAGTTCACCTATATAACACGTGATTAGACAAAGTTTTATCGATTTTTTAAGTATTACGTTATATTTGTAGGAACTACAAAATCAGAATATTTAAAAGCCAGCTTAAATTAGTGAACATTACGTTATTTAACAGCTTTTTTTATATAATATTTGAATTTTAGAACTTCAACCAAAAATTTTCTTAGAAAAGAAAGTTCAAATTTCTTGGGTTAGGTAATTAAATTTCTGTTGAACGCACCATTAAACATCTATTCTTTTAAACAGTTTTCAGTTTTTAAATGTTTCAACGTTTTGTATTGAAACACAAAGTTCTAAAGTAACAGTTAATCTAAACATTAAATCTGTACAATAATGGAGAGTTCATGTATCATTCTCGACCAGAAAACATTCTCGTTGAGTGCATGCTTAAAAACCAGTTTTCAGGCATCTCGAAAGTGAAAGCTAATGTGAGCAGTACGAATATAGTTTTTTTAATATATATATAAAACGGGGATAAGAAATCATGATGACGGTAATGGACTTCTCAGAAAAGTTTACTTCACTTAAAGTGTTGACAGTGGATAGAACATTGGATTCACTTCTTGAAAAATAAAAGTTGATACTTGAGATACTGAATAATATTGATATAGAATCTCAACCCCGCTGTTTTGTGTATTTAAATAACGAGTCTTGTTCTAATTTAATCCCATAGTAACTGCCTAATTAATATAATGTTAAAACTGATTGAACATAAATGATAAAACAAGAAGCGTTGTTTGATATCCACTACAAGTTATCCTAGCTGTTCTTTACGTTGTAATTGTATTGTCATATATTCGCTAAGTTACACAAGGAGCTAGCTAGTCAACAGCACCCACCGCCAACTCTGTAATAGATTACTGGGATTTGACTGTTACTCTTATAACGTTCCGAGAACCCCACAGTGCGGATCACGATTTTTCGGCAACAGGACACAAACCATGTACCCTCGAACTCACAGTTATAGTGTTAAGAGGGTCGCGAATAATTCCCAATTGATACCACAAGGCATAAAAAATATAGAAATGGCGGGAAGGAAAAACAAAATCAGTTATCTAAAGGTTTATTTCCAATAAAATGAGGCATAGCTTTTACAACTTAACTACATAATCAACCTGAAGGAAATAAGAGAAGTTCGTGAAATCTTCCAAATGTTTCGCTGCACAGTAAACCAGCTTCCAATACCCTGAAAGAGATGTAGAAGATATTTGCTTAACCTGAATGAAAATGGAGTTTACGTTAGCTACCTTAAGAAAAACAATTTTAACTACTACCACCACCTGACACCGCAGATTTTTATAAAAATGGATAAACTCAAAGCGCAAAGATAAAGGAAATTACTTAAGGAAAACTTGTAAAGGTTATTAGTAGAAATTCTTTATTAATTTTCAAGAAGAGCTTAATAATATATTTAGTCTCTTTATATGTCACCAGGTGGAACAGCGGTAAATTGAAAGGATTTACAACGCTAAAATCCGTGGCTCGATTTCCCGATGTGGCTTTGCTCTAAACAAACAAACAAGCTCTTTATGTACATATCGAGAAAACGTACTGATGTTTTTTTTTTTTGGGGGGGGGGGAGTTTGTGTTACACAAATTTTAGAAATACTGTAATAGAAAGTGAAAAACGTCGTTACCACACGTGTACGAAAAAGGTTTTATAAAAAAGAGGAAAATATAATAATGATAATTATTACAGTAAACAAATTCCTAAATTACAAAATACGGGGCAAACACAAGCAGCTGTCAAGATCTAAACGTTCGAAAATTGTAAAACGATGGATAAAAGTGTAATCTTAACTGCTTATTCTTCGCGTTTATGCCCTTTCATTCATGCACGTTTTATAGCGTTTCAATTCTGTTTTATTCACAAGTATTCCTCTTTGCAAGTTTAGTGTTTACAGGGAGTTTTTCGTCTATACTCAGTAACATTCCACAATGTATGTAAAGTGTTTTGTGTTCAATTTGTGCTTATAGACACACTTGGTAACATTTGTGAAAAAGAAAAATGAACGTAGAACATTATGTACCAGTTGGTAACATTTGTGAATAGAAACACAAAGTGAACTTAGAGCATTATGCACACACTTGGTAACATTTGTGAATAGAAACACAAAGTGAACTTAGAGCATTATGTACACACTTGGTAACATTTGTGAATAGAAATGTGTACTCCTTTAATTCATACTATGCTTGTTAAACTGGTTTATTGCTTTATTTCTTATTTATTTTTTTACTGACATGGGTTTTAGAAGTTATCTTCAAAAGTATTATAACTAATATATAGTCCTTATTCTTTGATGTTTCCTATACATATAATAATTAATTTATCATTTATGTGCTCACTTTCATATTTGCAAATCCTGTATCATGTCAAGCCAACACTAGATCATTAGTGTAATATTAATGTTTTCTTCCCTAATGCTTTGCTCAATATACAAGGATTATTATGATATACCTATAAATGTAAGCACGTTTGTGTAAAGTTGATTGAATGTATAATTAAGCCGAGAAATTAGGTTCCATCATTATGCATTCCGTGACAATGTATTAAGCCTCATACATCCAGCTTCAAGTGGTCTTCAAATTATCATCGTTAATTAGTGCCTTAATTATTGAGAAACGATTGCCAGTTTACAAACGATGCAATGTTTGCATATATATGTTATTTGTGCTTAATTAAAGTGATATGGTAGGAATCATCATTAAAAGACTAAAGAAAAAGAAATTTAGTAAGCGGCCATTAGTAAAAAAAACTGAGTGCGTATAAGCCAAGATGTGCTTGCTATCTTGTTTTATTTTATCTGCCTTAGTCTGTTAATTTATTTTTATACATTATTCAGTCATTTTTAGCACGTGGCACAATTTTAACCCTGAACTCTAAAGACGCACATATTTTTTTTTTACAGGAAGTGACTGTATCGCAGAAGAAAACCAATCAACGAGTAGTAGCAGTGGAGGAGCTCCACCTAGAGGTCTGTATTAACATTGTTCTTTTTATCATTGTAATACATGCACATTTACTTTTGTATATTGAATTGTTAGATTTGATAATCAAACTTGTTTTTGCATAATAATTATCAACTCTTTCTTTAAGTTAGAAACATATTTCGTTATACTATATTACTGGATATCCAAATATTTTGAAATTACCGAGATAAATTATATTGATTTTATGCTATAAGATTTACGCCTTTTACTTGAACTGAATCGTTAATTTCTTACTTTGATATTTAAATACATGTTTAAAGTTAGGGATGGGTGTGCAGTAAATACGCAAGTTTGTTTATCCCCGCGAAGTAAGAAAAAAGCATATGTATTCACATATATTATGCAAAAAAGGGGATGTTTAGAATGCGTAAGTGTCAGTATGTCTCTTTTTCTTTCGATTATTTTGGAGCTTGCTAACAGAAATGATACCAGGCACGAAGTGTGGCAATACCAAACTCTTTCATCATAAAGAAAAGTAATAGTCTTGTGTCAAAATGAGCGAAGTTTTTACAATGGAACTTTATAAATACTAATAAATAGAATGAAAATTTAGAAATACTAACAAATACAACGAAACTATATAAGTACTAATAAATACAATGAAACTATACAACGAAACATAAATACTAAAAATAGAGCGAAAATTTACAAATACCATTAAATACAACGAAACTTTATAAATACTGATAACCACAACGAAACTTTATAAATACTAAGTAATTAAACAATATTTTTTTCTTTTAGGTTCATAGTGGAACGTTTTGTTTGATATATCATACTTAGATGTTTACTTTTCAGACAAGAGTTTTAGGACTGGTTTTCGGCTAATATATGTACTGTTCTTCTTGTGACATAGCTAAACACAATCGATTCCAACCGCTGTTGAAATAATCTGTCAGTTGCGACATAATCTAACATCTGTTGCATTTTACAAGTTTATCCAGTTTTTTTTTCTCCCTTTTAGTTACCAGAGTTTGGTGGCTACAGTTTTCATAGTAGTAAAAGTATCCATTTTTAATTGATAGTGTTGATTTGTTGATAACAGATGTCTATTAAGAGCTAGTTAAACACTTTTATAATGATGCTTCTGTACATGGACACCCATTATTACACCTTTTGAAAGTTGAAGAGATCCCTGTTCTTAACCACTGCCTTGCAGATTAACCTCGATACGAACGCATTTTTACGTTTATATGGCTCGAGTAATCACCTGATATATCACATGGTTAGCCTATTTAGTATATGTAAATAAACTGGAGTGTTCTACAACTTTGTGTGTGTGTGTGTGAGTGGGTGGGGAGGTTCACGAAATAGTGGTGAGAGTACAGAAAACACGATAACCTGTTACACAAGGTTGAGGGTGAGTTTTATAATACTTCCACTTTTTGTGATAAAATGGCTAAAGGCAAGTGAAAAAGTATTGTGGAAGACGGTGGAGAAATATGACGTTGTTATGATGAGTAGTGGAAGTGATGGTGGCTATTATCAAGGATTATAATATTGAGAGGTTTCGAGCTCATAAAAGGACCATTATAAAGGAAGACAAAAGTTGATTCATGGTTTAAGGGCAGAGAAGAGCCAGTTGAGCTGAATGTGAAAGAGGGCAGAGAATGATTTTGAGAAGCGTGGAACTTAAGTTTTGATTGGTAGAGTGAAGTAGACACTAATTAAGCTACGGTGAGAGGAGAGACAGGTACGAAGAGGAAACGCCAAAGAGAAATTCAGACAGGCGTTCATTGAAGACCCATTCAGACTTGTAAAGGGCTTATAAGGCAGCTCTGAGCAGGAATTGAAAGCAAGAACCAAGTTAGCAGGGGAATCCAAATGGGGTTACTTACAAGACTCTAAAGATAACTTGTAGAATTTTAGCTAAGCTATCGGAGCGTTGCGTGACACCTAGATATTGGAATATTGCAGATTGAGTGTTATATTTTAAAGAAGAGAGTCAAATGAATTGTGTAATTTCGACCAATCTCTTTGCTCGATGTAGAAGGAAATATTTTCTTTTGTGTTTTAGCAACGAGATTAACAGTTTGCTCGTTGCAAAGTGAGTTCATAGATATATGCATTTATAAAGTTGATGTATCAAGGATTTCTGCGTGTCTAGAGCATGTGCCAATGAAGTGGAAGACCATTAAAGATGCTAAAAAAAAAAAAAAGACGCAGACGTTGTGTGGCTAGATTTTATTTATTGCATATCGATCTGCTCAATATGTGTTCATCGAACTAGCAATGTAGTTTTTTCCTACCTCAAGTATTTACCCGTTGCATCAGATATTATTTTAATGGCTTCGGGATACATTTTACAATAAAATCTTTTCAACAGATTGGCAGCAATTAGCAATCAGGATTGCAATGGGATTAAATATCTCACGAATGTTATTTGTTATGGTCGTGAAAGTGGTAATCCAAGGAGTGAAGTCGGAGGCAGGATGTGCTATAGGCAGTGAGGGGCAAACACTATTCTCTATCACATCATTTATGGACGATTTGATCATCTTGGAGAGTAATAATGAAATGTTGAGAAAGTACTGGTGTGAATAGATGAATATATTACTTGATGTCCTACGAAGTTTAAGGGGAAAAAAAGCAGATTTATATCTTTTTAAAAGGGTAAGGTTGTAAACGTTCAGTTACACATTGCACCTGAGAAAATTCCCATGACAAGAGAGGAGAGGGTGAAGAGCTTGGGAAGGTGGCAGTGTTTTCCGTTATCTGATAGGTGTAGAGGAGCCGAGGTTATGGGATAGGCAGAAGAAGGTTTGAAGAAGATCGATAAATGTGTGTTACTGATAAATTCAAGTTGTTGTATTTTCAGTTTGGATAGTTGGTCAGGCTGAAGTAGTTTCTCACATGAAATTGTGCTGAAGGTAGTGTAGAAGACTGAGATGAAGATTTGTGGATTTCTTCATATATAGATGGGCATATCTCGAAGCCTAACGCTCACTGCCCTTTACAGAAAGTGTATGAACAACAACTTCCAATCAGCTCAGGAGGGGAAGAATATAAAATAGCGAAGGTGTGGTGATATAGCATGTTGAAGGAGTTACAGGTTCAGAATATTTGAGAAAATCTGTGTTACAAAGTGGAAGGAAATGGAGGATACAGAAGGTCAGGGCTAAGAAAAGGAAGAATGTCGGTAGCGTACAAGAAGGAAGAACAGGAACTGGAATTAGTGAAAGAAAGTGATCTTGGAAAGAGAAGTATAATGCAGTAAGGCAAAAGTTAGTAGAAAATGATATTAGACAGATGGAAGAGGAAGGCATGGTTGCAAAGGCAGCTCAACAAGTACAACAATTGGGATAGTGTTGAGAAGATGTGTCCAATTTCGAACGATGGAGGCAGAGAGGTTGAAATTTTTGTGACTTATTTAAGTAGGGCAAATAAGAAAGTGAGATGTGTTCACTCTGTGGTATACAGGGTTCGCTTCACCATGTTTTCCTGCATTCATTCTAGCTCTCAATAGGGTATGTATATGTGGGAACGCAAAGAGGTGTTGAGGGTTTTGGTCGTGGCATTGGCTAAAGTTCTGATGAAGAGAGTGATGAAGTGGATGATGATGAACAATCGTGAATTATGATCATTCAGAGTGGTTGCGAGCGATATTTCCCTGTATTGTGAAAATTCAACTAGATTCAGATTTAGTTGTATGGTGTGTGTGAGAGAGAAAGTGATGCTTATTGGAGAGATGACGATGACATGATTAAGGAAGCTCATGAGATGAAGGTTATAAAGTATATGGACTTGACAGCCGAAGTATGTCAAAAGAGATAGGATTATTGAGTGCTACATTTTAAAGTACTGTGTAGAGATTTCTTTGTCATGTCATTGCGATGTAGAGAATGAAAAGTACAAGCTATGCCGCAGAGTCTGGTTCGGTATAGTCATGGATGAAGGTTTTCATCAGTTCCATGATGCACTGAAATGTTCAAAACCTGCCACTCTTAGAGGTACTGAACTCAATGATTTTGAAACTTTGGTGACAGGTGGAGCTAAACTGACAATCGTGGAGCGCATCGTAATCATCTGTTCATTTCTAGTTAATACTAAAAAATGCAAGAGGTTTGTTTGTAGTTAAGCTCATAGCTAAACAATGAGCTGCATGTGCTGTGCCCACCACGGGTATTGAAACCTGGTTTTTAGCGTTATAAGACCTCAGACTTACCGCTGTGCCACTGGGGAGCTAAAATACAAGAAAATTGTGAAATGTGAAACTTCGACAACTAAATTGTGACAACGTAGACAATTTTTCTTTGAATTCTGTCTTGTTTAACTATTGTATTAGACTTAGTGATATTGCGAATCTCTAATAGATACCATAGAACTATAAAACATAAAAAATACTACCTTCTGCGAAGGCTAAGAGTCGTGTTAGACCAAAGTTTAAGCTTTCCTAATGAAAATATTATTTTGGTAAAAAGTGTTTTATTTTCTACTAAACACAAATAAAAAGACATAATTAGAGTACACTTAAATTGTGTATAATACAAAAGTATTGTAATGTGAAGCCCAATTTTTACTTGCTAGAGAAACACGGAAAGTACGAGGACTAGTAAATTAGAACACTAAAACATTTCACCTAGAAGTCTTATTTTTATAATTAAAAAACTAAAGAAACGAAGGCCTTATATTTATGATAAAATTCGTGTAGTTTGTTTGTTGTTAAGTACATAGCTACGTAACGGACTATCTGTGCTGTGTCCACTGCAGATATCGAGATCTGAGAACTTGTGTGGCCTGGCATAAACGAATAGAAATCATTTCGCGCATAGCATGACACCAATTGATAACCCTATATCACAACCGTTAATACATAAAATTCAACGCTCACGCTACAAACATAAGTGATGAAAAAATCAACTCAGATTCAAAACTAATTTAGGAAATAGTATTTCTTTTTAAATGATTCAAAAATCACAAGCCACTTTAACTAGACATAACCCACAGTACCTTTAAGTCACAAGCCACCTTAACTAGACATAAC